TTGAATGATATTTTCAATGGTTAACCTATTTTATTAGCTTTTTTTATGAGTTTAACTTATTGATTAGATTGTCCCATAAAACCTTTTCGTTTAGTTAGTCATTTTTTAAAAACATCATATTTTAATACTAAACATTTTAAATAAATATTATCACTAGACATTAACAGATAAATGTTTTATAAATGAAAAACTATAATAGAAATGATTAATTAGTTGAAGAAACAAAAAATATTTAAACTACAATATAATTAAAGAGATAAAAATAAAATGACTAAAGAGAAAGATGTTAAATATATAAAACATTATAGTAAAAAGGTATAAAAAGATACTCAAAATGATAATGTGATTAGAATAAGAAATATGATATTTAGACTAAACTTTAAGATTTCGGTTAGTATAATTTTATCTCTTTATCGTTAAGACAAAATTACTAATATTTGTAATGTATAAGAATAATTATATGTATACTATGGAAATGTAAATAATAAATAATGCAATCCGTGCTTGAGTTCTAATTCAAAAGCATAAAAATACTAATATCTGTAACGTATAAGAATAATTATATGTATACTAAGGAAATGTAAATAATAAACAATGCAATTCGTGTTTGAGTTCTAATTCAAAAGTATGAGGATAACGATTTGTTTTTAACAAAAATAAAATAAAATGAGATAAAAACTAAGTAATGTGTGAAATATGAAGCAAAAAGACATCATGACTCACAACACTATGTACTAGAAGCCAAAAGATCCTTCCAAAATCATACAAGCACTATTAAGAAGGTGACCACATGTGTGATAGTGTGTTCCTTGGAGCATATTATACCTTAAGATTCTATATTTACATTCCCGAATAACCAATATAGAAATGTATTGTTTTTTTTTTTGGAAATCGAACTTCCTTAATAAGGGTTTCCGGACCAGTTTTGGGGCACCGACTAATCTCTCGTTGCAAACATGAAGTTTTGCATCATGCCCTGCAGTCACTGCAGACGAACCTTTATGGCCACAAGGGCTGATTGGTGTCAAGATTTGAACATGAGTCAATAGGTTATCCATCATATCTTCCATATATCTTACCAAGTCACCACAACCCAAGTGGTTAGAAAGCACAATTTACTTTCAAGAATTAATGGTCCATTTACTTAGAAGCCTATATATATATATATATATATATATATATATATATATATATATATATATATATATATATATATATATATATATATATATATATATATATATAGGGCTATGTTATAATGTAGATGAATATTTATTATGCGAACGTGTGTGGACAGTCGTATTCTATGAGAATGACTAAGAAAATAGGTTGTTTGGTAATGTAAATATGTTCAACCTCACATAGTTATCGTCAATTTCATACATTCTCGCTAATTATTATTTATTTTTGTTCTCACACATCATTTTTCACTCATTTTCATTTTGACAGAATACGACCCAATAAACATTCTTATACAAATGAGAGTAGTTTCAAGTATTCTAAGTAATTAATATTCGTATTGCTAAACAAGTTCTTCTCTTAGTAATTCTGATAGCATACAATATCCACACAATAATTAGTTAGAATACTTGAAACTAGCTCTCTCTCTCTCTCTCTTTCTCTCTCTCTCTCTATCTCTCTCTCTCTCTCTCTCTCTCTCTCTCTCTATATATATATATATATATATATATATATATATATATATATATATATAGGTTTAGGTTCTATGGAAAACAAAAAAACCCTAAAAATAGTTACATATGACAAATCTTTTTTTTTTTTTTTTTGATTTTTTATTATTAAAACTTGCAACTTTTTATATAAATTTGCTGAAATTTTTTTGGAAAACAAAAAACAAAAATATAAAAAATAAATAATAAATAATAAATAAAAAGATGATTTTTTAATTTTTTTTTCAGCGAATTTATAAAAAACACTATGATTATTAAGAATATAAAGTAAAAAAAAAAAAGATTTGTGATCTCTAAGTATTTTTTTATGTATTTTTATGATTTTAGGGTTTTTTTGTTTTCCATGTAAACCTTCCCTATATCTTTACTATCTTATAAAAATCTAAATATTTCTAAAAATAGATTCAATATAATAATATTATTTTTTAAGACGTCCAAACCATTAAGCTAATAGTACAACTAAACATTAATAAATAATATTAAAATATTAAATCACTTATCTTTAAAATCTTATATTTTCTATGGTTTTGACCGTATCTCACAGAGTTACATTGACTCCTATGATCTTGGTTGATTTTGACCCAACCCGTCTCATAAACCTAATTTAAGTCTCTCGAGATCACAAAAAATATCTCTCGATTCTAGTCGAGCCCTCTCCTATATATAGCATCATCGTAGCAATTAAACAGTCACCACCATACCTTAGCCATTAAGCATCCATCACTGTCTATCAGATTACATCACACCCTTGGCCCTAATATTACCAACGACTTCCTTCCATCTACAAACATCCACAATCACCTACATCGTACCATCCCACCTTAAAGCTAGACCCAGTCTTGCTTGCTTCGTTCACCCCCTTATCTTCAAAAAAAGTCGCTCTACTTCCTTATGTCAACCATCGCTACTAACCGTCTCTGGTCCAACTAATGCCATCTATGATGACTTGGATCCTGCAAAAACATTTCTCATACATTATAGTGATATAACATGTGAATTGGCAATAGTTTGTAGTTAGGGATCATGGTAAATATATTTTGCACTCTATCTATTCGATCAAGTGCTTCAAAGGGTGTTTAACACACACACACATACATATATACATATATATATATATATATATATATATATATATATATATATATATATATATATATATATATTCAATCAACTCAAGCACGAGATTTGGATCGAAGAGAAGATAATGAGTCTAAAGGGGGGAGGTAAGTGGAAGTCGCCACTAAAGAAAAGCTACAAAAAAAAATTAAAGACAACAATGGAAAATCAGGGGTTATGTCAAAGCAAACCTTGGTTCCTGGTAGTTTTCTTATTTTCAATTATCAATACAACCTCTAATTTTGATTTTGTTTTCTATTCTACTTCTGATTTTTTAGCAAGTGTCGACAACGTCCTAATAGATAAGCATTATAAATTTCTAATTAGCTTATAAATGAATATGTTATTGATATATTTTGATATAATAACTTATGTATCAAAGAAACACATATATTATTATTTTGTTGGATTTAGATATTATTAGTTCAAGAGTTAAGCATCATTAATGGTGAGATTTATCTAGAATTTGTGAGTGTTGAGAGAAAAACTTGAGACACACTTGAACAAACGTTAGAACAAGTATAGTTGCGAAATAGTTAATCTCAAAGGATCTAAAAGCTCAACAATAATAAGTTAACGAGTTAGATAGTTAGAGAGTTAGTTGCGGAAACGTAAGGAAATATAAATGACAACAAGTAATATATCAAGTATACACATAAGTTTATTCATAACATGGAATGCATTCAGACCAAGTTAGTGAGTGATATCAAGCTTAGTGATAAAGTCACGAATGACTTGCTCCGAAGAGAAGTAATTATCAGTTATGTTCGAGAGGATTTAGAGAGTAAGAAGAAATATGAGATGCGCAATACAAAGATGTAATAGATAGACTTGAAAAATGTTCATATTCTTATTAACTGAGAAAGAATGAGCTCTATATATATAGCAGTGTTGTAAATATCGGTCTAGGCGGCCGATTAATCGGCGCCTAGGTGCTTGGCAGTCCTCCACTGATAACGTTTATAGGTAATCGGCCTCTCTAATCGGACTTGGTCAAAACCGGTCAAAATCGGATATTATCGGATCTAGGCGGGTCTAGGCGCGATTATCGGTCAATGCAGGTCAACGGGATTTAAAAACTTTCAGGGGCTAAAATTGTCAAAATGTAAAAATTGTGGTAGGGTTCCATCCGATTTTCCCAATTCCATCGCATTCAATCTTTTTTTCTTTTTGAAACTCTCTCTGTGTCAGACTCAAGAACGAATGGTGCCAAGTTCTTTGCCAATTACGACGTCGGTCTCTTCTTCTAAGGACGCTGCCATCGTGCTCATCGGAAGTTAGACTGAAGCATATTGGGTTCGTCTGAGCATCATTGCCTGCTAAAGGTCTGTGAGAGGCTTCGACGCCTTCTGTTCTTTGTTCAACGCTTGCTGTTCGTCCAAAGACTTCTCCTTCAGGTTAGTATCCCGTCTCCACTTCGCATTCTTCTATTAGCTGCACCAATTGCAATTTCTAGAAATCCATATGTTACATTTCGGATTCAATTTTTTAGTTCAAGGCTTCAAGCATATTTTTTATTAGTTGTGTATGTGTGTTAATATGTTGTCGTATTTTCCAACTGTTGAATCTATTGTGTTATTTGAGATCAATTTTTTAGTTCAAGGCTTCAAGCATATTCTAGCTGTTTAATCTATTTAAGCATTTTTCCAACTGTTAATATGTTGTCTTATTTGAGATTAAGTAATCTATAATCAGATGAATTTGTTTAAGCATCTTTGGAATCTTATATGTTTCTAGTTCAAGTTTTCAGCTCCAATCTGTTTAATTTGTTGTGTTAGTTACTTTGTTTGTAGCTCTAATCTGTTTAACATGCAATTTTGAATATGTTTTAGAACTAATATGAACATGTTAATCTGTTTTAGAACTAATATGAACCTGTTAAGTTTTTTTCTATCACTTTAGCATTTAACATGAATATGTAAAGATATGTTCAACAATTGTAAGGTGTTTGGTTGATTGATAACCATTAATGTGTTAATGTGATGATTATGACTACAGTTGACAATCAATGACTTCTAATGCTTCAACTACACCATCTGTGGGATCAACCGCCGTGGATACACATCAACGGAATTCGGAAGATGTTGGTTGGGAATATGGTTTTATCCCGGATAAAAGCAATTTGGATATATTGAAATGTAAATTGTGTGGAAAAACGTTTAGCGGGGGGGGGGGGGGGGGGGGGTTACTAGAATGAAACAACATATTTCTCATGTGAAGGGGAACGTATCTTCATGTCCAAATTCTACAAAAGATGATCAATTGAAATGTCAAAATTCTATTAATGAAGGGAAGTTAAAAAAGAAAGCTAAACAAATGCAATATGAGGACTTAAGATCAGAGGTGAGACAAGAATTTAATGATCGTGTGGATGGAGTAGAAGCTTCTTTGGGGTTGAAAGCACCAAATGTTATAGGCCCCATGGATTGTTTTGCAAACATAATAAACCCCGAAGAAGCATTAAATGCAAGAAAAGGAAAAAATGTTTATCTTAACAATGTTGTCCGGAAAGAAAGAATATTAACGGTCCATAAATATATTAGTAGGTGGGCATATGAGAGTGCGATTCCTTTTCATGCATTTGAAAGGGATAGCTTCAAAATGATGTTGGAGGTTGTTGGACAATTTGGAACCGGGCTTCCACCTCCTAGTAGATATGCTTTGAGTGACACACTTTTAAAGCATGAGGTTGAAAGAACAAAAAAGTTGTTGAAAAAAAACGAACAAGAATGGAAAGAGGATGGATGCTCGATTATGAAAGATGCTTGGTCCGATCGAAAGAGGAGGAGCATTATGAATTTATGTGTTAATTTGAAGATGGGTACTATTTTTTTATCTTCGGAAGATTTTTCCAACGAAGCACATACAAGCCAAAACATAATTGAGTATGTGGATTCTTGCATTCAACAAGTTGGTCACGAGCATGTTGTTCAAGTTGTGACCGATAATGCCACAAATAACATGGGGGCGGCAAAGTTGCTAAAAGAGAAAAGACCATCTATTTTTTGGACATCATATGAAAAACATACAATTAACCTTATGCTTGAAGGTTTGTACATTATTTTGTTTACTTGTTGTATTTATTATATTTATTACTTTATTTCGTTTTAGAATGTTTATTTTCTACTATATTTTGTTATTTAATTGTGTTTATTTCTTCAAGGTATCGGAGCACTCCCAAGGTTTAAAAAAATCCTAGATCAAGCAAAGAAACTAACCATATTCATTTACGCTCACCACAAAACCTTGGCGATGATGAGAAGCTACACCAACAAAAGGGAAATTATTCGATCAGGAGTCACGAGATTTGCTTCCGCCTTCCTAACATTACAAAGTTTGGCTGAAAAAAAAGGAGCAACTAAGACATATGTTTTCTAGCACCCAATGGGAGGAATGTAGATTTTCCAGTAAGCCTAAAGGGATTGCCTCGTATAAAACAGTGTCAAGTGTCCAATTTTGGTCCGATGTGACACAATGTTTAAAGGTGTTCTCTCCTTTGGTGAAAGTCCTTCGAATGGTTGATGCGGATTGGAAGCCCTCAATGGGTTTTGTTTATGGAGAGGTTAAAGGTGCAAAAGAAGAAATTATCAAATCATTGGGTGGTAACGAGAAAGCTTACAAGCCTATTATAGATATCATAGACAAAAAAATGAAAGGTCGTCTAGATTCAAGTTTACATTTAACGTCGTATCTTTTGAACCCGTATTATCATTATATGGATCCAAATATACAATATGATCCTGATATAGTGAATGGCGTTCTTGATTTTTTTGATACAATACTTCGTGGAAATTTCGAGATGCAAAGGCAAGTCGTGACTATTGACTTGCCAAAGTACAAGAAAAAAGTTGATAGATTTGGTTGCGATCTTGCAATTAAACATTGTGCGGTGAACGATGCCGAGTTCGATCCGGCTAATTCATTTTATTTTTAGTTATATATTTTATAAATTTTTTATATTTATCGATTAATAATGTGTTTTTGTTTCAAAAATTATAGCTAGTTGGTGGGGACTATTTGGTGGCACAACTCCTCATTTGACAAAGATTGCAATGCGGATTCTTTCTTTAACTAGTAGTTCATCGGGTTGTGAGAGGAATTGGAGCACGTTTGATGGGGTTAGTAACATAAAGTATTAAATTTATATTTTATAAAATTTAAATATCAATCACATTTCAACTCATTGTTGTGTTCATATTTCTAGGTACATACAAAAAAACGAAATAGATTGGAGACAAGCAAATTGAACAATCTTGTTTATGTTCAATTCAATGCTAATTTAATGGAAAAAAACCAAAAGAGAAAAGATAGAACTATGGAAGTGCTATTAGCAAATCATTCATACTCGGCTCAAGAATGGATTGTTGATTGTGATAATCATGATGTAGTTGAAGAAGACCCCGAAACGGTTAATGAAGCTCTAGCAACCGATGATAGTGAAGCTCCTCAAGAAAGTTCAAGAATGAGGGAACTTTCCGATGAAGATTTTGAGTCCGAAAGTGAGGAGGAAGTGCTAGAAGAAGACGAATATGAGTCGGATGGGGTTCAAATAATGGAAGTATGTGGAGAAGATTAGAAGAAAATATGTTTTTATTTTGTGCTACTTAAACTTATTATGGACTTTGTTGTAGGATAATTTGGTATGCTTGTTGAACTCATTATGAGTCGGATGGCCTTTTATGTTTATTTTGGATGATAATTTGTTGTGTTTGTTGAACTTGTTATTAAAATTTTTTGCTTATTTACTTATATTATTAGGGACTTATAAAATTTTAAATAATTTTCTTAATAATTAATGGTCCCCGATTAATCCCCACCTAGACGATTAATCCCTTGACCCTAGTCCACCGTCGAGCTACCGTCGAGCGTTGTTTCCAACCTTGATATATAGACTCAAGAATTACATTGGATCACATCTCTAAGAGTAGCCATGCAAGGCATACTGGACAATAGAGAATATTATAGAAAAGTAGATAAAATTACACTAAGTAACGTAAGTAAGACTGTGGTTGGATAGATGACTTCGGATGATGCTGCTGATGATGGCTTGACTGTGGATCCTTGAGGGTTGCGGTAGACTAAGTTCAAGAGGGTCACTTCCATGATTCAACAATTTCCCCCTAAGTGACCTCTTTAACTTTTCTGCACTTATCAAGTTTCAGAAACTTTATCAGAATCCACCAAAACTTCCTGATATTTTCCAACCAGGTGATCCTTCTTAAAATCTCGAACTTGACTTCGGTAATCATGTGTTTTGATTTTTCTACTATGGTTCGACATATTTCAAGTTTCTTCCTTGTAAGACGATTCATGGAGGTCATGGGAATGAAGTATTTGATCTCATCGACCTTCCTTTTGAAAATGACTCCAAGTTCAGGGTAGTTTGTTGCACCTAGGGATCTCTCTTGATAACCTTCGGTAGGCATTGGTGCAGGATCAAGTGGTGGTAGATCGAACTTCTTGGCAATTGTTGGATAGATCTCTGCATCAATCTTTACAAAGTCGCAAACGGTTTCCTTCAGAAAAATGCTTGCCCTTTCAAGTGGTATCTTCATTTTTGGATACTTTTCACATTTGTTTTGGAACACCCTTGCTATTAGAAAGACTTCTTCTTGTTTCATACATGGGAAGTCAGCTTGGGTGTAGACATAGTCCTGATTCCTTCTTGTAAGTGTGTATTGAATGAAGTCAGCCTTCATGAATTTTTGGGGCTTGAAGTTCTTGATTGCGGATGGTCTATCGTTAGACCTGATTTTCTCTATGGAAGAGGTTTTTTTTGGCATTGAATCGATTGAGTCTCTTGAATTCCATAAGGATTTTTCTGTGATCCAGTAGACTACGGTAAAATTGCTCAAATACCGTGAAGTATTTAGCATTTGGGGACATTGGAACATCCCAGTAGCCATCAGAAGGGGGCTCAGCATAGGTAAGTTAGGGTTTGTAGTCATCATCCAGTAGTCTGCGGTGGGGATTGATCCAAGAATTGATCAAGGATTCATCCATGACGGTGTTGAAACCGCATTCTCTCCATATAAGTTCAGCAAACTTAGCTGCTTTCCAGTCAGATTTCTTCTGTTTTGTGACTGGAGAGTCATTTGAGCTTGGAGATGACATTTCGGGAGCTAGATTCTTGAAGTGAGGGGGAGTCTCAGGTCGTTCAGGAGAAATTTTTTGTTGAGAGTGAGAGGGATGTTGCGGTTGTGTTTAGTGAGTAGATGGTTGCGGTGAGGGAATGTGTTCTATTATGATGGGAGGGATTCTATGATGAGAAGCACTGTTTGAGTGATGTTCTTCTTCATGATGTTCTTCTTCACTTCCTCCTATTGAGGAGTTCAAACCCAGAGCCTCCTCAAGCCATTGTTTGAGACCATTGACCTTGGCACAGACCTCCTGAAAGTGAGCTTTGAGAACATCAGCTAGTTGCTGATTGTCTGGTATAGTGGTGTTGAAGAGTAGTCGATGAATCTCTTTTGTGAGTTGTAGAATTTAAGGACCATGGAAATTGGACGATATGGATCATTGAAGTCTGTTGATGGTGGAATGAAGGATTGAGATAGTGGACTCATAAGCAGTGTGAGTCTTAGCTATCAGCTTCTGTGAGAGAGTGGATTGGTCCGTAATGGTTGTTTGCACATTTTCTTTGATTGCAGATACCTCAGAGATGAGGCACTCCGCAGCAGCCTTGAATTGCTTGTGATCAGCCTGTCGACTGTTGTCGAGAGACCAAATCCCCATTTACACTTTGACAGAAATCCTCTCTGCAGCTAAATGTTCCCTACTCTCCAATCTTTCAATGCTTTCGATCAAGGACTGCGGTACTGGATGGTCTTCAGATTGCGGTTGAGTAGACTTGACCATAGCAAGAATTTGATCTACTTTGGATTGTAGATTCAAGAATTCTTTTCTAGACACAACCATCTTCTTCTTCTTCTTTTTCTCCTTGGGATTGGAGGTTGAGTGTTGAGAACCACTCGATTCCTTTTCCTTATCAAACATCATTAGATCATCATCAGAGGGATTAGGCTGATTTACCTCATTCAGATCAACATCATCATATCCGAAGGTAGGAGCGGAGCAGACTTCTATTGCGGTGCCTTCGTCTTAAGAATCTCTAGCAGTTGGAGTTGGAGGGGGCTTTAAGGGGTTTTGATCAGCAGTCACAGCTTGAGCCTTGCGGATTATATCAACCATTTCGTCCATCGAAGCTTGAACTTTGCAGATTGTAGATACGGTATGGGCATTATTGATTGCGTCTGCCCAATACTTCGCTACAGACTGAATCTCTTGTTGTTTCTGTTGAAGCTGCTTTGTTTGACGTGCCCTTCTTTCTTGAAATGCCCTACGGAAAGCGACATATGTCTTGGCTTCGGCTTCACTTGTTAGTTGATACCTACTCCATGAGTCGTTAAGATCGATATCGTCAATTCCTTGGAATCGAACCGAGGTGTCCCTCGAGTTCACGGATCCTTGCACATTGGTGCTCATTGTGCCTAAACCACCTGTAACAGATGAAAGCAGAGTAGGATTTCCTGAGCCTCCTCGATCTCCTTGACCTGGGGTCAAGTCTGGCCTCGGCTCAGTTCTGGCAAAGGCTGAAGAATCGCCTTGCGGTTGGGAAGGTGTTTGAAGTGTTTGGGTAACAGAAAAAAGTATGTATTTCAACTCCTTAGGGGAAAATAATTGTAGATGGGAATCCCTGGAGACCTTAGGGCGGGAACCAGTTCCATCCTCTTGGGAGTGATCTGGGGGTGAGTCTCCACGTTGCGGTGAAACAGACGCACCTTCTGCGTCTGAGTGGTATTAGATGGTTGATTCGAATGGGTGTGCAGCCACCCCAAGGACTACCAGATCCTTTTAAGAGGTTGCGGTATTAGTCTGGTCATGCATTGGCCTGTGGGATTGGTTTTTCTTTTCTTGAGGATCGAGATGGGTTGATCGTCCTCATCGGAATCACTTCTAGAGGGAGAGTGAGATTGATGTTTGTTTTGTTCGACGTTTGTGGGCACAGGTGGGGTGATTTTTCTTTTCTTTGAAGGGTCAACTTGCTTGGGAGCATTCTTTTTTCTTAGGATTTCCATGTTTCTTGTTGTAGCAGGGGCCTTGATGAGCTGAGGCCAAATGTTTGCGTCTTTCTAATAAAGATAGGTTTGATAGAGTGGTGGAGGATGGGGCTGCAGTACTACCAGGGACAGTGAGTGCGGATGGGGTTTGTAGAGGCGGGGTAGGAAGGTATGGGGCAATACCTTCCGTAGCCTCAATATGGTCCTAGACATCAGCAGTTTCAAGACCAAGAGTAGAGAGAATGTGGACTGGTAGTCGTCTGATAGGTCCAAAAATAGATTGACCAGAACAAGGATTGTACCTTTTGAGATCTTTAG